AATGTTTGGAAACACTCATTGTGTGTCAGATAGCTACTGATAACACATCCTAACATTGCTTTGTCTTGAGTTTATCTTTGAAACTTATAGGCACACAGATTAAACCTGTGTTGTTGATTTTGGAAAACACTACTGAGGCTGCCTTGCTTTCCTTCAGAAAATCTACATTTTAACCAACTTGCATGACATTCTATGTTATGTTGACTTTATCATATGAAAGTTTATAGTGCATTTCATCAATTGATAAATAAATGTGAAAATCGTAATTTTCAACACAAATAATAGTCTCGCTACATTAATTTTCGTTTGTAATTTATTTTTTACTGTTTTCGCTGAAGGGATTTATGATTCAGTCAAAATAAAATCCGACAAAGACATCTTTTCTTTTCTTCCTATATTTTACACTAAACTCATTAAAATCAATGCAAATAAATTCCATACAAAACATACAGTCTTTTCAGCAAAAATTAACTCCAGCTAAAATAAAGTGTTTCACAGTATTATGTTTCAAAATTGCTACACAAAACCTGCAACTGACAGTCTTATAATCGTTTTTTATATAAAAACAAGAATTGCATAGTTACAATTTCCATGGAAACCAGCAATATAGTTGACAATATACTAGTTACAAAAAATTATATATAGTGTAATAATGATTGTCCTAATTATTTTATGCTTGAATATTGTGTGAAATCAGGTAGCAGATGAGAATTTTATTACATGTTTTGTGGAATAAATGTCCACAACTCATCTTTTCAGGTAATAACCATATTTAGAATAATTTATACACATCAGTTTGCCTGCCCTATACATTAAGTATACTATATAAGAGTTTCCATGATCAAAACAAGTTTATTTCAATTACTGTAAAATAACTAATTTTCACAGGGTTTAAATTTCACTGATTTAGCATTACAGGCATATTCAGTGGGTTTTAAATTCACGGTTTTAACATTTAGATAATGTGTTCTATGCTAAATTTTACATATTCACTGGGTTTTAACTTAGCGCATTTTTCAGTCAGCGAAATAAGCAAAATTAAAACTCAGTGAATAATCAACTCTTTTACAGTATTCAGTATATAACAAGGGTAATTTTTTATCTATGGGAAGGTAGAGCAGATACAGTCGTTACAGTACAGTCATTTTTATGAATGCATTTAAACAGTTAATGTATGCAAGTATTTCAAAGGTAAAACTTTTAAAGAATTGAAATCTAGCATTACAATCCAGATTGTATACCAACACCTGATGATTGCAATTGGCAAGCACAGATTTATTTGATGCCTCCACCACCATACAGGCAATGAAGATAAACACATGCAAATTGTCATATTTTTCAAAAGTTATTTCAACCGTGTCAAATTATCTCATCTCCGCAGCTGTTCTTGCATTAACAGATTGTAAATATTGTTGTGATAACAGCAGCAAAAAAAAAACGCATTTTTAATAAATTTTGAATCAACACATAAGCAAATAAATATATGGATTGAAAACAGACTACACAAATGATTGCTAAGATATTGGGAAGCCACCCACACTACTGTAATTGCATCTGCTGTTTCCCCAATCTATGTTACCATGGTATTTTGAATAATGGAAGCAATGATGGGAAGGGAACAAAAACACTATGGGGGGGGGGGGGTCACACAATATCTCTGGCATTTTGCAAGCAAAGTATTCTATTTTAGAAAACTTAAAAATTTAATGAACTTTTTCATATATATACAAATTCCCAGACCTAACCAAGGCCACACTGATTTAATTGTATGGATGATATCCTCTGGAGACCCCACATCAAATGCGAGAGGGCGAAAAAAAAAAAAACCTGCCAAAAAAAAAAAAATGCTACGGAGCTGGTATAAAAATTACGAATTGAACTACAGAGCCAAGTGTATCATAAAAACAACAAGAAATAAATAAATATTAAATAAAGAAAAACTTACTGTGTTGTATTGGAAAACGAGTTTTACGACAAGCCGGCAATACGAGTCGGCAAGACACACAAATTTGTTGTTGAACTTTTGATCAATTTTATCACCAAAATGATAGTCTTAATTGCATAAATTTAATAGGGTTCAACAGAAAAACATGTTTTTGTTCAAAACAGACAATATCAGCATTCTAAAATGATTGATAAAAATAAGTATCAGCTAAATCTTCAAACAGACCAGACAATTACAATAGCCTGGGCAATGCAAAATTAGTTCAAAGGTCACTTGGTCATGCTAAATAACCTCACAGTGCAAATAGATTTAATTATTTGCCTGATACCAAAGAAAGGGTCAGATCTGATAATGTTAATGCAGTAGTTTTTTTTTATAAATAGTAAATACTAAAAGATTGATCTAAATATGAAACATCTAAATATGAAACCTATTTGTGTCAGCATATCTAGTTCAATTTACGGTTGTAATGCCACGTCAACATTTAACTATCACAACCAATACTAAACCTGCATAATTTATTCTGTATATTTTCAGCAATGCTAATCAGGACCTGTAGACAATTAGAAATTACATCTGTTTTGTCAACAACTGACAAAGAAATTACGGAAAAATAAATACAAGTGACCTGACAGCCAAAATAGATCTGTTCTACAAAAACATTGTGGTAGCCAACTAACATCTATAAGAGTTAAACAACAAAATAGAAGTTTGGTTCTGGCTGTTGAGAACATGTCAGCTTAATTTCAAATTGTTCACCAAAATTATGAACACCTCAAATATCAAAGCCAATGGGCCATTAGTTTTCAAGAAGAAGTCGAAAATATTTTTTTTTATCAAAAATGAAATATATTCCCCAAAAATATAGAATTAATGGTATCATAAAATGAACAAATCTGGTAGAGATCCACCCAAGATACCTAGATATCAAGTACAAAAGCAATTGAGATGGTGGTTTTCAAAAAGATGTTGAAAATTGTCGATGGACGAACAGACAATCCCGGGATATGAATGGGATGACAGCAGAGCTAAGAAGTGTACAAAAGAGGCATCAAAATATTGGAGGGAAAAATTGTCAGATTTAAATACATAGAATTGTTGCAATTCCAAAATCAAACTAAAACATAGAACTTTACTCTAAGTAAAACAGATTGCTGTCTTGTTTTCTGGAATTTATATTGAACCAATACTATCAGAACAAAATGTCTGTGGCCGTGATTTGGCTCGAAGTATAGCCACTGTATACTATAGGTCGGAATAATAAACGTAGTAGGAATGTTTCATGTCAGGATTGACATTTATTGAACTACGAAACGGGAAACAACATCAGCTTGAAACAAAATAACTAATAATGGCGCAAGGATCTCCAGTGTCACATGACACGAAACTCAAGTTGTGATAGGTAGGTTCTAAACTAATCACTGATCGCAGTAATAAAGCTATTGCTGTACAGAAATACAGCAAATGGAATAATTATAGAAAACATTTTGATGTCTAACTAGACAATTCAACTTAACTTAATTTGCATCTCGCCCCGACAAGGTCTCTCAAAATTACTTCACAACCCTCTCATACTTTTAATCAGCGTTAGTTTACTTCAATATATGCATGAATGAAATGATTCCATAAATAATTTAACACTACATCATGCATGGTGATGTACTATGATAATGCAACACATTTTCTCATGATTAGAAACTAGAAATTTGGCAGTGCTTTTAAATAATCAAAAATCTACTTACTGTAGAATGAGGATTCTTTGGACTCTGCATCCTTTCGTATAGCCTCTAGCTGTTTTTCTGTGTCAAATAGTGATGGGGATTGACCAAAACTTATCGGAATTCTATCAACTAAATTCCTCAATGAAGTTACTGGACTTTGTTCCAGATTTATCTCACCAACATCTTTTAACGGTTTGTCACTCTCGTCATCTAAATCCTGAAGTATAAAAAAAAACATTTATGGTAAACCATATTGAAATGTATATTGCCAATAACTTTTTCCACACCAGTTCCGGATAGATTGTTTCTGTTGTCCCCCAGCTTTCTGACAGAAAATGGCAGAATTTATGTGTTTTTGACTGGACATTACCAAGACAAACAGTCCAATCATCTTATGCGATACCTCATTTGAAAGCTGATAAAATATTTGAGGACCAACCATTCAACTACTCATTCAAAAAGGATATTTGGGTTTTAAAAATGCATAATTGTAAAAATTGTGTATTCATAAATTCTGGAACAAATAAAGTTTTCACTACGGTAAATGCGAAATACATTGTACACAAATATAAAACATTCAAACCATGTTATATAATTATTGCTTAAAATAAGATAAAAAACAGCATTTTTTGATAAAATGATAAATTTTACAATTTTGTCCATAATGCTCATTTTCCCACTATCTTTTTAATGCAAAATATATTGCCAGTATTTTTAAATAAGAACAGAATAATGCAGGTCATTTGAAAAATTAATACATCTACAAAATGTGGAGTACCAAGAAAATTTATCAAGAGTGGCCCATTCATTATGAGGGAAGAAATACCAAATTTGGTTAAACATGGATGAATTTGCATTTAAATTAAAAATTCAGTTAAAAAAAATACAAATCAATTTATCTCTAGACTCGGCAAGTTACTGGTTGCGAGAAAATATGATTTTGTGGCATCCACAATATATCGTGTCAGAAGAAGCATAATTTTACTGATGATATTTCCAGAAATTTACATATCGTTATGGTGCTTTGGAGGAAGGGGGTAGAAAAGCAAGATTTGGTTGTAAAAAAAGGTTGAAATTATTAATTGTCGCGTCAATTGAATAAATCTGACCAAAACAACAACTTGCAAGAACATGTCATTATAAGTAGTGAGCGTTATATATCACAGAAAGAGGAACCAATTATATGCACAGGTCGTACGAGAAAACCAAGTGTTAAAAAGCATTTTTTGTCGTTGTGCATTTTAGGAATTTTGGAAAAAAAGTCTGCCGGCATACCGTATACACTGTTTGAATTCATCATTAAAACAAACCAGTGGGTCTGGTACAGCTCAATCCTAGCTCATTTGCAATGCCATTGATGTAATCTAGTATTACGCAATACACCAATCACAAAACTGAAAAAATAAAATCTTGATAGTGTAAAGTCTCAAATAGACGCGAACTACCGTCTTTGTTTCACTCTGATTGCAAAGAACTTCACAATGGGCGCAAGATCTTTACATACACCTAACTCCCTCACCCAGTAGGCAATTACTGAGAGATTTTGCAACATTCCCACACACTTTCCTGAACAGTGACCGTTATAGAAGCAAAGGTTACATACCCGCCTGTGTATGTAAATATCTGGCGCCCGGTGTAACATTAATTGGTAAAATTATTATCCTTGATTCCACTTTCGTTGCAAAATTCATCGTTTTAAGCTTCAACTGAATTCATAGGAGTGGGATTTAGACAGTTTGGAAGGTTGCTTGATCTGCCATTTTTAAAAATCCACAGCAGTTAAAAATTTGTACGTAAAAGGTTAAAGATCAAATCTAGGTTAATAGCAGAACCCCTAGATGAAAGAGCTCCACAAATGCAGGAGAATGCAATTCACAGACTTTTTTACAACTTTTTTATTTCAAAAATGGACTGACAGACTTGCACATCTGCAAATTTGTGCTTTCAGACTTTACATGTATAAACCAAGTAAAAATCTATTCATTTTATGACAACGTAAACTTACAACATACCTTGTCACTGGATGCTTCACTCGCATCGACGCTACCCAAGTTGGTTTCTGCTTCTGCTTCTGTTTCTGTTTCCGGATTCTCACTCTGCGGCTCATCACCACTACTTTGTACTTCATCTATATCTATATCATCAAACTGCATTAATTCCTTTAAGAATGGATCCATAGGATCCAATCTCTGCATCCAGTCCGTTGAACTCTTAAGAGAGTACTGCACATCAAAGTTAGTGAGAAGAAACAATTCATTAGTGAGCCGCCCAAGTACAGTATAAGCACATCTTTAGAACAGCCACATTTTAAAATTACACAATAGTTACAATTTGTATATCATTTCGCAATGCGCACATAGATTGTAAAACATCTCGCAAAATGAAAAGACTGGGAAAACCGACAAAGTGGGTTAATAAAATATTCATTTAAATACAAAATCTTAATGAATCTCGCGACAACTTTTTTTTTCCAAATAAAAATATTACAGTGAAACCGGTCTATTCGGAACATTGAGGTAGAAATCTTCAATTATAGTTCGTAATTTATTGGCATTGCAAATGCTCATGGCTCGAAAAGCAAAAGCAAATAAAGAACCAAATTTCATTTAACAACGATTTAATTTTTCAGTGAACAACATTTTTTAAGAGTAGCTGACAAACTTAAGAGGTCTCCCTCAATAGTTCCTTCAAAGACGGGGGTACTGTACTGATTAGAACCAAACTAGTTTTGAATGAAATATTCACTAAATGCACATGGTAGATGCTTATTCATGTTTGAGCAATTCCCAAAGTCGGTTGGAGTAGTTAAGCATGCAAGATGGCCGGCACCCTAATCTCATCAATACATATCTAAATCGCAACATCTCTAATTGGGCAAATTTAAAAGTGCAACCAAGACATTAAAATAGTTCATAATAGGACATTGACTAACATTATCAAAATATAAATCCCGATGTATGCTAGACAATGTGACATTTCTGGATGAGATTTTGGCCATTCCTTGGATACCTTCCCTCCACATTACAGACCAAGAATGGATTATTTAAATTGGTATTTAACCGATTTTAGGAATATACATCTATACACACATAAACCTTTTAGATTCATCATAATAAAGTCACAATTAAATATAGTCTTCACAAGTCGGAAACATTGTCACCTGTCAATTCCAAGTGCAATATTTACAATTATGCCTTTGGTGATGAAATTTTGGCATTTTGGAGAAGCTTCGAGTCATTTTAGAAAAAGGTCACACAATCAGCATGATATGATCTGTATTTGCTCTATTTGAAGTGAGTGCACTTTTTTCACCATTTTATGTTGTGTATGCTTTTTAACATGCCGTCTGTTGACGCATTTTTTTCTTCTATTCATGAAGGCTCTCAGCAGACGATACATTATTCACTTGATTGATGAATAATTAGCGTTGATGGAAAAAATGTCCAACAAGTGTTCAGAAAATATCAAGAAGCCAAAATGAAATTGTTTGACGTGGCTACAGCGCTAATGCAGCTGCTTGAATGCATGTCAATCAGACGTGCGCTTCTAACAGAACAAATAGGGCAGGTCACATCTGTTCCTTTGATGACCTTTTACATAACAAACAAACCAATTTTACTGCGTGGAACCGTCACATGTAATAACTGCATAGAGCTAAGGGGAATCTCCTGAAGACCCCATTGAGTATTCTACATGTACATTACACAAATCCTATCAAATTTGAATTAACTTGCATAGTCACGTAATTTGAATTGCGATTTCTAGTATATAGTAGTGTCTTCATGATAAAAACTGCAAAACAAAAATGATTTATTACGTCTTTTAAAGTTTGGCTTGAAATAAAACCACATGGTATACCGATTAGGTTTTGGTGCATGCAAGTGTTAGTACTAAAGTAGTGATTCATATTATGGGGTTGGTCGAAAGTATTCGTCTGTGCAGTGATTATAAGAACGCACCACTCAACATTACATCAATTATCTGATGAGATGTGAAAACAAAATTCTTTACAAAGCCTGATTTAACTTAAAAATTAGAATCGTCTAAATGTAAATATTTATTAGAATCGATAGGAGACAATCCTCCATTTTGCTAGGACATCCAAAAGCCCTACTTTTACAAAACAGTACTATGTTGCTTGCCATAAAACCAGTATTAATAAAGTTTTATTGTTTAGAATTATTTTCAAAGAAAAGCATTTCACTTTCACACACTTTATGTGAAAGTGAAATTTGTATATCTGTTTACAAAATTGTTTTATTTCTATTTTTTGATGCTATAAAAATCCTGAATCCTACACTTTCTGAAAGTGGTGATTTCACAACCACATCTTGAAGTAGTTATGGAATAGTAAAATTCACCTTGCCACCGATTTTAAGCTAAAATTTGATTTTGTACATGTAGTTGGGAGTTGACAAGACAAATGTGTTGATATTTACAAGGTCCGTGAATTTTTAATGAGCAAAAGACAAAAGAGCAACATAGTACCAAAGTCTATTCTTATAAATCAGAAATTTAAAATGAAAGGATTTTTAACCACCCTCTGATGGTATCCCAATGTACACAAGTACCTTCAGTTCTGACCAATCACACGAGGGACCAGCATCAGCCTCAAAATCTAATTGGTCAAGGATGCTGAAGCTGTCATCGATGTCGCTGAGAACCTTAATAAGCATTAATTTGTGAAAGATGAACAAACAGTGAGCATGAATATGATCATTGAAAAAAAAAAAAAAAAACATCACTAAAATTTAAATTTTGATTTCTCATCACTTGTAACAGTGAAGCACCCAGACTCTCTTTCGATTGTGAGCAGCTATCTCAGAACCTCCTAAAAACAAGCTATATATACAATTTATACAGCTATACCTCAAAAATTTCTTACATCTCCCCTTTCACACACAGGTGACACACTGTTTAAATATGTACACTTCCATAAGTGGTTACAATCTGAAAAACAGGTCATCAGATACGATATAAATTTTCCAGCAAGGAAACCAACCACCAATGAGGCATTTACATTAATTTTACATCTAATAGAATTGTTCCCTCAGTTTCTTGTGTAAATGCCATAAATACAATGGATAGTCAAAGTCTTCAAGATGGAAAATGTAATATCGTGCATCTGATTAACTATGATTCAGACTAGAATATATAACCACGCCTTTCATAGAAGTGATATCAGAAATAAATTTGTGAAAGCCACTTTATATTGAGCGAGACACAGATTTTCAACAGTTTGCATTGATTTTAAAATGCCATTGAGGAGGTTCAAGCAGAATTCAAGATGTTTGTCATACTCATTCGAGTTCATACTTAGAGTATCAAGAACGAAAACAAAAACAAACAAAATTAGGGTTCACCAGACAATTTTTCGAGATACAGGAGTGCCAAATGTCATAAAAAAAAGACACTTTCTATGGTGGAATTACTCCTTCATATCTCAAAATTGTGCTCAGTGACATGTCAGTTTATTGTTATGAATCTTAATATCATGAAACATTTCACAAAACTGACAATTTCATGAGTTTCCAAGGGAACGATACTTTTCTATACATTATATTTATAGGTCCAGTTACATGCTAAGTACAGCAACATGTGAATTCAGCTAGAACTTCCTAAATAGGAAGTTCTGTGATAAAATTAGTGTTTTTTTTTCCTCCCACGAGTCCTTGAGAGTGGCAACTGCCATTGCGAGCATGGAACAAAAACCCAATACATTACACAATATAACCACCAATCTCAAGTTATTAACAGGGCAGAACACGCCTACATCGAAAGAGAGTCTAGGCGTGTATTGCACCAACATGTTCCTCATTTCATTCCCGGAATAAAACGTTCAACAAAGAAACTGCAGTTTTAATACACTTGTTATTTTTAAATGTTTTCCACTGTCAATTGCCAGATGCATCTTGTTAAATCATTCCCTCCTTTATTATATTGATGATGTCAAACCAATCAGTTGTCGGCAAACGAACCCAAAATCACCAATGTGATGAAACCATTACAAAATCCACAAGAAATGCAAATTTAGACCAATTACTATTTCAATATTTTCTCGTATAATTCTTCCAACTTTATTAAATTAACTTTGTGTAAGCTGAAATGCTGGATGTAACTTCTCAACTTTTTACATGCAAATTGCAATTGTCGACCATTCCTCTTACCACATTTTTGTAACTACAAGTCTGGGCTGTGCAATAATCCATGTAATGTGGCACTGTAACTAATCAATCATCGATAGTTTTAGTTTTCTAGTAATGTTTACAAACTTTTGGGTTCATTTTTGACAATTTGACTACTTCGATATTTAAAAAAAACAAAAACCAGATGCTTGTATTCAAGAGACTGAATTATTCATACCCAGAATATTAGAGCATGCTTGAATTTACTTGAGGATGAATAAATCTCCATTTTAGAATTAATTTTTGTAATAATTTGTTGAAACTGAATGAATTGAATAAAATCTCGCTCAATAAATACAAGCAATCTGGCAAAGAATCAGAAAAAAACAAAATAATTCAATTTTTTACCTTGAGATAAGGTGCGGAACTACAGCTATCTTCATTTTCATGTGAGCTGATTGAATTTAAATGACCATAACCAAGTTGATTATCATCAACCACTTCCATACCTTCTCTCAGTGTTGTCAATAAATCAACTTGTTTGTCAGATCCCTGGTAGATAAAGATAGAAAAACAAAGATACTCATCATTCAAAGACCCACAGATGTTGCATCCCATTATATTCAGCATGGGTCTCTTGCAATGTGTACAACGCATGTAAAATTCAAATGAGCTCTGTATGACGACTAGCACATAAATTAACTGTGCTAACCACTAACAAAAAAAATTTTGCTTTGCAAATATTGCCAAGGTTTAACATCTACCGGGGGGTATTCATATTTAACGCTTTCCCAACGATAATTCCATTTCATCATTTTATTTAAGACTTATGCACAACAGTTCAAACCATATTTTGTCTTAGATACTGTAGCTGAAGAATCTCGCAATTTCTTTATTTCGACACGAGTTCTAGAACATTAACTCAAACCAGCCAGTATATATACACTCACCTGATAATACATTTCGGAGCCCACTGAATTCAGATGCATGTGAACTAAGCCTGTCTGTTCTGTGTACATTTTCACAGCATCTAGGAAGTTACTGTTCATTTGACTGTCATTTTCAGAATCTTCAACACTCTCAGATTCCTGAAAGTTAAAAAGCAGGTGAATTCCATGGGGGATATTTCAAGCTTCCAGTTCAGAACTTTGTCAAAATGTGCTATTCTTGGCATTCAGTATATTGCAAGCTACTGTAGAATACTTTTATTTTCGCTTGGAATTTATTTTCGCTTGGAATTTATATTCGCTATTGTCGCTTAAGGGATGATTCTGTGAAAATAAAATCCAGCGAATATACTTTTTTTCCTATATTTCACATTAAACTCGTCAAAAATCAGTGAAAATAAATTCCATACCAAACACCCAAAAAGCCTTTTCAGCAAAAATTAATTCCAGCGAAAATAAAGTATTCCACAGTACTTTGAATATTATGATTCTAATTGCCAAACCAAGCATAAACCTAAACCCTTGTAACCCAGGTGATTCATGTATACACTTCAAACCTAAGCCCTAACCTTAAACCTATTATCACTCCCAAAAGTGCATAAACCTAAATTACTGCACTTATGTACTGTAATTAAAAATGGTGTTCTTTTGAGAAAACTGATGCACACATTAAAACACATCACAGAGTCCATGGTTCAGACTTCACACTATATCAATACTAGATGGTCTGATGGTCCATGCTGTATCAATAGAAGAGAGCTGGCTCACTGCTACAAATGATGATACACCATTCACACAGCCATTGTTCTATAAATACTAGAGGTATATAAATTGACCTAGATTCTGTTTATACCGTTTATACTTGCTAAAGTAAGCATTTCTGGCGACTGGACAAGTTATCTTCTTGCTACATGCATCAGTGATTTAAATATTAAAAATATTTGAAAGAAGTAATGCTCCAGTCAATGTCAACCCCGACCCCTCCCACCTCTGGCGATACGGGACAAATGTGGGGCATTAGACAGGGTTTACCGCCAAACTGTGCCCGTGGAGGTGGGGTAATAGCCGTGTTTCGTGTCTCGTCATTGCTAGCATCACTAGTACTCGGCTGATAGCAAGCATGGCGGACAGTGGCGATTTGTGGAAGAAATGTGGGGGTTTGTTTTGGTTGGGGATTTGCCTATCCATCTTGCCCCAGGAGGTGGGGCATTTCGCAAATTT